TTACAATCATATTTATTATTTTTTTCTCTGAACACAGTAATTAAACAACTATTTTTTACTTTTAATTTAAAACGCTGTATAAATAATCTATCAGCTAAAAGCTAACGATGAACAGCTACAACAACATGTTCTCTCTTTTCATGAGAGTTAGGGTTGCTTCTGCATGGCGGCTAGGGTTTCGTTTGCGCAACCGCAACGATGATGTTCTCTTTCTATAGGGGAGTAAAGTTCTTGTGTCTTTGTTTTAATCCCTTTATATTTGCTTTGTTTGTTTTTCTGCTTCTCATTTTTTTCCTTTGGACTCTTGTTTTTGTTTGTTTATTTCTTTTTAGGGTTTTCTTAGTGTTGTCTTTCTGTCTTGTTTGTCTACTCTTTTCATCTGTTTATTTTTCATTCGCTAATATGTTTCCCCCTTTCCTAAACATCATGGTTCTGTAGTGCTAGCGACTGAGATGGAGAACCAAAATACTGTCCCATTACCCAAGCATAAGGAAATGAGAGTGTACACATCAGTGGAGGCAGAAGAATTAGAAGCGAATGTGGTTGAGAATTGTATGAATGAGGGGATGGCTAAAATTCTTAGCTATGATAAGCCCTTGATAAGCCCTTTTATGGGATGGGATTCTGATAGTAACATGGCTTGAGGCAAATTTATCAGATTTCATGCATTACTTGACTTGGAAAAACCCCTTGCTAGAGGCTCGATGGTTAAGCTGCCTTTTGGAAAATCTATCTGGATCCCTTTTTGGTATGAGGTATTGCCTAATTTCTGCTTTTTATATGGCAGGTGTGGTCATACGTATAGGAGTTGTGATGATTATGATTTTGGGGAACCTTACAATTGAAGAATATGTTATATGGGGATTCGTTGAAAGCCTCGCCTTTAAGGAAAGGGGGAAAGATTAGTGCTTCGGATCGTACTAAGGGTAGGGGGGGAACCTGTGGTTAGGAAAATGAGTTCCCAGGATAATACAAGTGTGGCACTAGTAATCAAGAAGATAATGGAAGTGAGGAACTTGTGAATCGTCAGGAAGGGAGAGAAGAAGTCTATTCAATGCAAACCTCTATGTCCCAAGCTACTAACATCCTTAATTAGTTACAAGATTTGGTGGTTAATGCTACAAAAAAGAATATGGCTCCATCAAGCCATGAACAAAGCCGTATAAGCCATGATGTTCCAAGTCCGGCTCCTGCTGACCCATATGCTACTACTTCAGCTCCTGTTCTTACTGTCCCAAACCCAGTCGTGACTGACCCTTTACCCTCCTTTTCTTGCCTCACAGACCTTATACATAGTCACCAAACTTTATCGTCTAGTTCACCTTGTCCCATCCTTGAGCCTGAACCTGACCCACGTTTGCACCCAGTGAATAAACAACAAAATTCAAATTCTCTCTCCTCTTAGAAAAGAAAGGCACGTCAGGGAAAGGGAAGCACTGTTGAATCTTGGACAATGCCCTTATTTCATTTCTTAAAGAATAAATATAAAGGCCGAGGGTGCTTTGAAATTAGACATGAGTAAAACATATGACCAAGTGGAATGACATTTTTTAAGAAATGTTTTGCTTAGATTTGGTTTGGATGTGAAACGGACGGACTTGATCATGAATTGTGCTTCTACTGTTTCATATTCTTTGCTTATTAAGGGGGAACCAACGAAAAAATCTGGAAAGATCGCTGACTTACGGACCCGAATCATTCCTGAATTATATCTCCTCCTATGATTTTAGATGAGAATGCGACTGTGAACCGCCTTATTCTCCAAGACCCAAAGCATTGGAATGTGGATTTAATCTCAACTATTTTTGATCCGTTGGAAGCTAGGAGCATTATGACTATCCCTCTCACCATGCGACGTACTAAGGACGTTTTGGCCTGGCCTCTTTCAAAGTAGGGTTTATATGCAGTACGCAGTAGGTATCATATGCTGCCTGAGGCAAAATTGTCTGGTTTGTACAGCTTCTCTTCTAATAGAGGTATCCATATGCTGCCTGAAGGCAAAATTGTCTGGTTTGTACAGCTTTTCTCTTCTAATCGTGTGCGTTCAACCCAGTGGAAGCAGAATATTCCCCCTAAGGTCAAGGGCAATTTTTGCCCAAGAGTTGGTATAAAATCACATTCCTGTTGCGTGATGCAACTTGTACACAAAGGTATGCATATTGATCCAGTTTGCTCCGCTCTATGGGTTGGCCCATGGAGAACACCATGCATATTTTAAAAGGACTACATCATAGGCCCAACATTCTTTTGGAAATTTTCTCCTGTAAAGGCTCAATAAAACGTGTTGATTATCGGTTCTCAGTTCCAGGAATGATTTAGATTATTATCAGTAAAGTTCAGCAGGGAAGCATATTGGAGCTTTTTTTCGATGACTGCAATGCAATATGGCATTTCTCGCAACGTTGGTCAAGTTTCAGGGCAAAAGCGATTACATTGTGAAGAGATTAACCCAGGCATGGCTATTGTCTGCCTCAACAGATTTTCAGCGGCGAACGAGATGGAGGGTAAAGATGGAGGTAGATTCCCAAGATGTTACTATAGAACAGAAATGACAGCCTCCTTCGCATGGTTCGTTTAAGTTGAATGTTGATGCATCGATTAAGGAGATGGTGGGCTGTGGCTACGGTTTCATTATCCGTGACGAGGAGGGGAATGTAAATATTATGGGATTTGGCACTCAATGTTCTTATGTAGTCATTCCTTCAACGGAAGCAGAAGCTTATGCTGCTAGCTTTGGTCTTTTTATGGCGATGGAGTTGGGCTTTACTTCAATAATTCTGGAAACGAAATAATTAAAATTTTAGATTGTTATAAATAATGAAATAATGATATTACAAGAAATTCGCTTTTTTCTAACTAAATTTTAAAACTCAGCGTCACAAGGTTTATACCTTACCCTACTGTAAGACATGGCATGTCGGCCGTAATATAATTAATAAGCACTTAATTCTTATAAATGCTTACTAAGTATACTACAAGGGACTTAAACCTTTTTATTTCCTTCATTTTTTTTTTATATTTTTTTATCATCTCTGTAGCATAATTTAGTTAGATTAAAATGTATAACTTATTTTGATTCGTTCAACCCTGTTAGGAAAGAAATGAAAGAAATGTCTATAATTTACTAACTAGTAATCTCAATATAATTTCTTAAACATATTATTAAAAACATAAAATGGTTCCATAACCCATAAGTCCATAGATGATTTAATTACATATTGGAGTTCTGTTCAAATCTTAGATACATAATAGAAATTAATTACTTAATAGACTATAAATTTTCAAATTCATACAATCATAATTCACATGAATCTGCTCAAATATACATAGATGATCTGTTAATGTTTAATACATCATACATATTCTAAAAGAAGTCAAATATACAATAGCTACATCAGTAGCATACTATCTACATCAAATAAAAATGATCCTCTCTTGGTTCTTTTTCCTTTTCTTTACCTGCGAATAGATAACAAAAGCAACTTAATCGCTAAGCATTGGCTTTAGTGGTGTACTAATAAAAATAATAAGGGATGACCAATTCATAAAAGTCCACCATTGGTAAAGAAAATAAGAAACAAAATAATAAATCAATACCCATTTAAATCTTCCAATTCATAAATATGAGTCTTCACAGCTTTTATAAAGTCAATTCTGAGGGCCCAATCAGTGTTTAATGATGCACAATTCTAAGGACCTTTGCTATCTACAACCTCAATCTGTGATATGGATTTCAACAGAAGAGCGAGGCAATCTACAACCTCCAACATTGGAGGGAGATTTCATACAATTATATTCATCTAGTGTATGATATCCATGTTTCAATCGATCGTAATATTCAATTCAACAAATTGAAATATCAATCGGGGTATAACCATATTATGATTCAGCTGTAAGACTTAAAACCATTCCATTCATTGTACTAATATCAAAATCACAATGGACAACATTTTCATTTCATCAACCACTGCTAAAACATATTCAATCACGGCCACCCCTCATACTACAGATATCAATTGGCCAACATCCTCCTCTTTCACAGTATAAGAATCATAAAATTCATTTAAAATATCATTCGGTCATATGCTTTCAAAATAATCTTTTTCCTCTTTAAAAATTTATGAAAGCACTAATATATATATTTTTTATATATATAGTTATAATTCATAAAGCACATCCATAGAAAATTTTTTGCAAACTCAATCTCATTTTGTTTAAATAAAAGTAGGAAAGGAATAATAACACTAACCTGAACTAGATGGCTCCCCTAGCCCTTTTCCTCTAGTAATTCAAGCTCCCTTTCTCTCAAAGACAGCTGTAGCATGATATTAATACCACATTAATCATACTACACAATTACACACATGCACTTCTATAGAATGTAAATTAAGCATTAGAACTGTAGTTCTCATCGCTTTCTTTTCATTTTCACCTTATACTTGTCTAGTGTTATATTGAATTCTCAGTTTAAGCCAGAAAACACTTCAATAATCCAACACTTAACCACATCCTAGACACAGGAATACTAAAATGAAAACAATAACAATAGAAGTGAATAGCATGCTAAATTCGTTCAAGGTTTATGACATGCAGAATTTCAGCATTTGAGTAGCTGGTATTGCGTTGACTATATCTTGAATTTCCCTTATTCAATTGCCCTGAATTTTGACAGCATGTTCCCAACATCTTAGGGTACTGTTCTGGAAAATTTCATAATTTTTAAAGCTCATATTAATTATATTACGGGCGACATGCCATGTCTTACAGTAGGGTAAGGTGTGACATGTTTATTTTGGTATCAGAGCAGTTTTAATTGCATATTGGATCACATTTTTACTGCATATAAATGTGTGAAATGTAATCTGCTCAAATATGAATGCCTGTTAATTGTTGGATATCTACATCATACAATATTCTAATACGATGCATGGTTTTCTGTGATAATATACAGAGAGCGTGTTATTTTACAGAAGCTGAATGTCAGGCAGCATAACTGTAACATGTCCAACAATGGTAAGTTTATTTAAGTATTCTCAACTCACTTCCAGCACAAATTCATGCAATCCAACTCTTCTATTACTGAAATAACATCATAATATAAGATATAGCAGAATCCCTAGTTCATGGCCATATCAAGATACAACAATCAAAATCATCCATCTTGGTGAACTTAGCAACTTAGACTTGAATTCATGCATAACTACTTTCAATCATCTTAAATCACCTTAAAATCCACTTCTCGATCACTTATCTTCACCACAAATCAGATTTAACCAACAAGCATCTCCACTTTCAAGGTCATGGAATTCAAAACGTAATCCATAGAAATGAGGAAAAGTGAAAATAATACCTTTTCTTAGAAATACTTTTGAAAAAATACTTGAAAATTCTTTGATTTTCACCTTCTTTTTGCTTGGTTTTGACTCAAAATCCTCCTCCTCTCTTCTTGAACGCTGCAACAATGAGTGAAGTGTCGTGGTTCTTTCCTCTTCTTCAATAAAATTATATAATAAACTTTATTAAAAATTCCTTCCATGTCCTTTAAATGCAATTTGCACTATAATCCTCCCTTTTGTTTTCCCTTCATCCTTTGGCACTCTAATCTTTTTAATCATTTTACTTTAGTCCTATTAGGTATAAACGAAGTGTATTTAATATTCTAAACTCCACTTGGTAAAAATCGTACGGAAATTACCGTTTTTCAAGCTTTTCGGGTAAAATCGTGCTTTACCGAGAAGTCATTCATCTTTTAACTCATTTTTGATTTCCTTTAAGCTTTCACATTGATTTGCAAAATCAATTAATGTTTCATCTTAATTAATATTAATATCCTTCAATATATAGTTTTTTCCATTATTTCTAAGTTTTCCTTTTTTTTTTTTTTTTTTCGAATAACCGAAATTCATCGAAAAAGCTTAGATTTAGAAGAACTACAAAATGAGATAGGGGAACAAAACCGTGAGGGAATGTAGCTTGGTAACTCTCCAAAGCGGACAATACTTACAAGGGGAGGGCTATGAGCATGGTATCAGAGCCGGACCTCGCTTTCTGGCCGGTGGTGGGCCAAACCTCAGCGAGGACGCTGAGTCCCCAAGGGGGGTGTATGTGGCAAAGGCCAGCACATCTTAGGCAAATCCCAACTCGGTTAAGTACGAGGGGGTGGTCCTATACATAGAGGGGTAGGTCTCTCAACTTGGTAGGCGCCTTTTGGGTGGTTTGCAAGGCCTGTCAAGGGGACAAACGTGAGAGGGAATGTAGCTGTAAAACTCTTCCAAAGCGCGACAAATAGCCTTACAAGGGAAGGGCCTATGGACAGGTTAGTCCATCTAATTTAATTGATGAATTTCTAACTAATTTGTTAGTAGATATATTTTCCAATTCCATTGACTAACACCATATGTGTGTAGGTGCATTAACTATCAGGCACTCAAACTAAATTTGCAAAACCACCAAAAGGCGGCCCTTCCAGTTGAGAAGACTTACCCCAACCCACCCAAAAGGCGCCTACCAAGTTGAGAGACTACCCCTCTTATGTATAGGACCACCCCCTCGTACTTAACCGATGTGGGATTTGCCTAAGATGTGAATTGAAACGCAACAGCAAAATTGACTAAACCTGCTCTGGTACCAAATTGCAATTTATGAATTGAAAGGATAGACGTGTGATTTGAAAAGAGACACCGATAAAGTGAAATTTGGGTAATTTGGGCTGCAGCTTTCTTTCTTTGTCTTCCTTCACCCAAACTTTCAAACTGATTGCATGAATTCAAATTCTTAAGTTTCAAATGAAATACATGAATCCAACTAAAACATTAATTGATTTACTATTCATATAGTACTTGATGTGATAGCCTAATTGAATGCTGAGAAATTTCTTCAAATTTGCAAGTTTTCATTGATTAAAAAAATAGCAAAATCAAAAGCTCCACCGCCATACTTAACTGCAAAATACTCTGAATGTTTTATAGATTGTTCAGAAAAAAAAAATAGAAAGAGGAAAAAAGCTTCTCCCAGTAACAAATTACACCAAGAAAATCATAAAACTGAAAATAGAGGAGCTTTGTTTCATCATTTGGCCTATAACCTTAGCTCCTCTCCAAATGTTCAATTTTCTTAGATTTTCCTTCTTTAAACAAGCTTCTTCCCAATTCATTAAAATAAAATTTTCTCTTATATCTTAAAATTTCAGAATAAAAAATCTACAAAAAATTTGAAAAATTAAACATTTTTCCCCCAAATTTACCTTCATCTGCTTCCACAGTTAAACCTCCACATCCTACACTCTTCTTGTCCTTATAGAAGCACAACTATTGAAAATCCAAAAAGCCCTCCTAAAATGATCAGAATTTGATCCGTTTCCCTTCTTTGTTGTGTCAAATCCCAAACGACTTCAACTCATGTATCCGAATGCAATAGTGTATCTATAATTTCTTTTTAATTTCAACATTAAAATATTAAAATATTTTTACATGTGAAGGGGTCAATAAAAATAAATAAGGGGGTCAATTGAGTAATTATACTACATATATAAATGAAAACTAAATGGCCCTTTTTTTGTGAATAGAACAGTTACTATCCAAATGGCCCTGCATGAGCCCAGCATATTTCACCTTCTTAACTAGGCAAGTATAAGTAGAGAAAAGAAAGGAGCAATAGAGAAAAATAGGAATATACCTATTTGGATTGGAAAAGATTAAAACAGAAGAGGATGAAGAAAAAATAAAAGTAAAACGCCTCTATCTCCCTTTTAGATGAGAGTTGATAAAAGATTTATCAAGAATGGATCGAGTTTTATTTAGTATGATTCAAAATAAATAATACTCGGTTAAAAAATTACTTTATTATGTAATTAATATTCAAACATTAAGATTCAAAATTCTCGCTTGGTAATTATTCTCTAGTCTCTTACTTAGAATAGTCAGAAATATTATACATACATAAACATTATCATTTGTTAAATTCTGTCAAACTTATTCAATTTTCTACTTCTTTCAAGAGTGATTATGATGATATGTGTTTATTAATTCATGCTCTTTTATTTGTTCCAAAATTGGTGTGTGCGAGTGAGATATTTATTCATATCAATTTTTACAATTTGAGGGGTAGAATAGGTTATAATATTTATTCTCTAAGGAAATTTTGATTCAGATGTTGGATTCTTTCATTCCAGATATTATAAAGGATCCTTTTTTAACTGATTTATCATTCATGATTCTTTCATTCCAGATATTATAAAGGATCCTTTTTTAACTGATTTATCATTCATCACTCCTCATATAACTGATATTTATGTCTGTTAAAATGTTATTAGTAAATATTAAAAAAAAGACATACAAAAAATTTTTTTTTTTTAACTAATCAAGGTCGTTTTCAGATATTTTATTATTAACTTTAATAAATAATTGTATAACCTATCAAACAATCAATTAGATAGATTTCTTCTCAGGATTTATTAAATCGTGTAGAACGTTGGGTCTGCTGGGTTCCACCTGTGGCTGCTTTTCTCAAGTTAAATAAATAGACATACCAAAGTTACTGTTGTTTAGTTTATATTTATGTGCGATTGTGAATGATTATTTATTTATTTAAATTTTAACAAATTATATATTTTTTTATTTATTAAGAGGCTCAACAAGTTGAAACAATATTTCGGACTATATATTAAAGGTAATTTTGTTCACTAAAATGATGAAAACTCTTGTGGTCGAAAGGATTCGAACCGCAAACCTCTCACTCTCCACTTTTGATATAAGTGAAAAGACGAAATAAACCAGACATTATTACTAATAATAAATTATATTTTTTAATATAGTATGACTTACTTTTTTTAAATTTTAGTATTTAGTATTTTGTGTGACTTTATTTAAATACCACTTGCTATTTATGTATAAAAAAATGCGTAAATATAAAATAATAAAATAATAAATGTTCAGCTATTATTAAATGAGAGGGCAAAGTAAAATTTTGATTTAAGTTGTGTACGGTATAATAACATTAAAATTGCTTTTCTTTATTGTTAAACTTATCCACAAAAACTTATCCACAGTCAAAGAAGATCGTGCAACGTTATTCTCATGTCGAATAACACTTACTCCTGTTCATTCCAGTTTTTAATTATTACTTGTTATATTTACTTAATGGGCCCCCAGATATGCGCGTTAGCTTTTAGTTTGATCATTTTACATTTGTACATTATAAAATAAATTATTTACATAATACCTTTTATCAATATCAATGTATGAACTCACTTATAATAAACCCTATAAATACCCAATCGAAGCTACGTGCATGTTATCAGCAAAAGCCAAGTCTCTTCTCTTTCCTCTTTCACACGCTCATTCGCCGTAGCTCTGGGACTTGAAATTCCTTTTACGGAAAAACCCAATTATGGCCAGATGAGTACTCTTCCACAGTTTTCCTTACCAAGCCACCTCAACCAGCCACCTCAACCTCCACTACCAACACCATCAAAGCTCTACTCGTCACCCTATTTATCTCCATTGTTAGTACAGTTATAAAACTTCAAAGGAGAGCTGCTCTCAAAAAAACCAGCAAAATTCTCCCACTACCTCCCGGCCCAAAACCCTGGCCATTCGTCGGAAACATACCGGAAATGATCCGGTATAGACCTACTTTCCAGTGGGTTGATCAACTCATGAAAGAAATGAAAACCGATATTTGTCTTATTCGTTTCGGAAGAACTAATGTTATTCCTGTCAATTGTCCAATTATTGCACGTGAACTGCTCAAGAAAAACGACGCCATTTTCTCTAACAGGCCAATGATTCTTTCTGCTAAAGAAATGAGTGGTGGTTATCAAACTACCATTGTTGTCCCTAACAATGATCAGTGGAAGAAAATGAGAAAAATATTAACTTCAGAAATTATTTCACCTGCTAAACATAAGTGGCTGCACGACAAAAGAAGTGGCTGCACGACAAAGAACAGAAGAAGGCTGTAATCTGCCTGTATTTTATATTCCATAAACCAGTACGGCCAAACAATTAATGTCAATTTGCGACTTGCTGCAAGGCATTATTGTGGAATGTGATAAGGAAAAATGATGTTCAAGTAAAAGATACTTTGGCGGAAGCAAACCGCCAAGAATGGCGCCACCGGAACGCGTGAGATAGAACCATGTGGACTCAGTTTTTTGCTGTTTTTGAATACTTATACTCATTTTTCGTAATTTTTGGATTTCATGCCTTTCTTGCTAGGGCTTGATCTTGACATGCGACAGGCAGGAAAAATTTGTTCTTGAAGCTAATAAGACTTTAAGGGCTTTTCATAATCCTCTTATAGATGAAAGGATTGAACTGTGGAGGAGTGGTCAAAGGAAGGAAATGCAAGATTTGCTTGATGTTTTTATTACTCTTCAAGATTCTGATGGAAAGCCATTCCTGACATCTGACGAGATCAAGAATCAAGTAGCTGTAAGAACTTAAAACCTATATATTTACAAGCTTAAATATTTTCCTGATTCAAGATATTTTGATTTTTCCATTTGTTGCTTTTTTCCTTTTTCAAGAATTTCAATATAAAATAAGAATTTCAATATAGAACATAAATCTTACAAATTCAAGAAATCAAGAAATAATAAATATGATATTTTTATTTAAAAAAAAATACATACATGTGTAGATCCTTACAAAATCCTGTATTACAAAAATTTTTCAGGAAGTTATGATAGCAACAATAGATAACCCTTCAAACGCAGTGGAATGGGCCATGGGAGAATTGCTAAACCAACCAGAAATTCTAAAGAAAGCAACAGAAGAAATAGACAGGGTGGTCGGAAAAGACAGACTTGTCCAAGAATCAGACATCCCTGATCTTAACTATGTCAAGGCATGTGCAAGAGAAGCTTTTAGGCTCCATCCTGTAGCCTACTTCAACCCACCTCACGTTGCTGCGCAAGACGCTGAAATTTGCGGTTATTTGATCCCTGAAGGTAGTTGGGTCATGCTCAGCCGATATGGTCTGGGCCGAAACCCAAAGACCTGGCCTAACCCACTCAAGTACGACCCTGAACGCCATGAAGGAGAAGTGGTTTTGACCGAACATGGCTTGAGATTCATATCATTTAGCACGGGAAGGCGCGGTTGCATCGCGGCTTTACTCGGAACTTGCATGACTACTATGTTATTGGCAAGAATGCTTCAATGCTTTACTTGGAGTCTGCCGGATAATGTCGAAAAGATTGATCTTTCCGAAGGAGTCGACGAGCTTTTTCCGGCCAATCCCGTGGTGGCTTTTCCAAAGCCACGTTTGGCTCTTCATCTTTATCCTACTTCGCCATGAATGAATGAACGGAGGGATATTAAGATATGCAATTAATTCAGAATACTTTAATACTTTGAAATCTGAAATAAATAAATAAAATCCGACTTGCATGGTTATTATGTAATTAGGAGGTGAAATTTATGAGTAGAAGTTGCATGTGGTGGCGGCTTTATTGATAGTATCTTTACAACGCTTTTGTATTTCATCAATGGCTTGCAATTGTTTCAATAAGTAAATTTGCTATTAATTAAAAAAAGTCTTTCTTTCATTTCTTTTAATTAATTTAGGCTTGCAACTTTAAACTTTATAATCTTGAACCAGTATTAGCATAGATGGAAATGGAATCATAAACAATCAGTCAGAATCCCAATAAATGTATATAGATCCAAAGGATTTGAAAATCAATTGTAAAAAGAAGAAGGGAGATAACAGAAGACCCATGCAAACCCATCGTTGTAAAGTTTTGATAGTTGAACGTGAAAGAATTTGTATTGTATGATTTACATTATACGACACCCTTCGTATAGGTGTACAAGGTATGTACAAAAAGAAAAAAAATGATCATAATAGAATGCACTAAAATTAAAATTAGATACATTAAAATCAAATTCATATAAACTTGGATCACTTAGATTTTATTCTAATATTGATATGGAAAATATCAATGGAGTAGATGAGTAGTCCGTATATAGAAGAGAGAAGAGAGGAGTGCGAGAGAGTTTAGAGTTGCGATGCTGATGTGCAGAATCTTGTTTGTCTTCGTTGACATAGATAGTGCTTCTTTCTCTTTTCACATTCACCGCAGAAATTAATTGTATACTTTCAGTGTGTACCAATGTCCTTGTAGTTAGTATAGTTGATCTAATTGTACAAATTGAAGTGTTTAATAGGATAATTTTATAAATTAAAGTGTTTGATAAATAAAAAAAAGTACAAAATATCATAAAGTTAAAGTAATAAAGTTTAAAATAAAATTATATATTCAGCCGTTTTTAAGTTTATGTTTACGTGTTATTATGAATTAAATTTTAATATATTGTGGCATATTTTTTAAAAAATTGTCATGTCCATTACGTGTCATATTATGTCTCATTTCCCATGTCTATATCTATGCAATGTATATAAGAGAAGGCGTTACATTGAATATAGATTAGATAACATGAGCAGCTCTTTTTTGAATTTTGTTATAAATATCTAATATAAGTCGTGAGCTATTATAAAATGGGAAGGGAAAGTAAATTTTGATTTCAATTGTGGTATGGTACAATAAAAGTATTTGCTTTCTTTATTGAAATTCATTCATAAAAACTTGATTTTATGCGTCAAAATCCCTCCAACTGTGCAAGTTTTATAATTTGACTTTTGAATTTATTTTTGGATATTATTTTTTCAATTTTTCTTAATATCTATTCTTTATACAATTAAATCTATTGCAATTAAGGATGAAATTATAATTAAAAATATTGCAATTAAGGATGAAATTATAAATAAAAAAATATTTTCATTATTTTTTAAATTAATAATAAAAATAATATTTTCTGTTCCTTGAATATCTAATTATATTGACATATGGTTGATAGTCATGAAAATAAAATAATTAAGGACTTAGTTATATTTTTTAATTAAATGACTAATTATTTAAGTATATAACCAATCCAAAAATTACAACAATTAGGTTTTTTTTCATCCTTAAATATAGATAATATGAAAATAAGGTACGTATTTATATTTCTTTAGATTAATTTTTATGTCATGTTTCAGGATTTTTTTGTTCAGTAATATAAATTTATATTATTAAATTATTAGATAACGCATTTGTTTTAAAATTAAAATTTAATTTATGTAAGATTAATTGGATAGAGAAACGGAATTTTTTTAAAATTTTCAAAGTGTAACATGATGATTTAGAAATGTTGGAAATACTTTTTTTTTTATATTTGTAATTCTAGCATTAACCGCCATTGAAGTAAAATTAATAAAAAAAAATTGAAGTAAAATTACTATAAAACGTTCAAATTGAAGTAAAATTAATAAAAAAAAATTAAAATATAGGAAAATTGTAAAAACTAATAAAGTTCAAGAGTATTTTTGATATATTAGGCTTAAAAACTTTTATTATCAAAGGAGATTATATAACGTTATTTTGGAGTATAATTACTTAGTTCTTTCTAATTTTTACTCCATCTCTCTTATAATTTTTGTCCTGATTTGACTAACACATATATTAAGAAAATTCAGTTAATATTGTTAAATTATAATTTTTGCTTTGTCTTTTTTAATGTACCCTTATGTTGATATCTATTAAAATTAAATGATAAATGTAAAATTATTTCTGAAATTAATCGAATTATAATTAAACATTTGATTAAATAAATATTTTAATTTTGTTTGTATCAAGATTATTAATTCTAATAATGTAGTAGTTTGGTTGTTATATTTGTTGGTGACAAACATATTAAATAAAGGTAACAAAATAAACTTCAAGTATTATTTATTTCTAAAAAAGAAACAGGACAATAATAAGGGACTACTGGAAAAGAAAACTAGGACAAAAATTATTGAATGGATACTTTTAGTTTGTTCAGATTTTAACATTCATATATATTTTAACCGGCCCTTGAACCGTCGGTTCTAATTCAAAATTTTAAACCGACAGTTCCAGTCTGATTTCAATTCATCTACAGTATGGTTTGATTTCGGTTCAAAATGAACCGGTGGCCATACCTATTTACAGGTGTCATCTCCGTTTCATGCACAATCTCCCACTACCCTTCTCTAATGGCCACCATAATAGAATGAGCTGATGAGAAGGTCCAACTAAGTCTATTTTTACCTTGCTTGGAAACTGAATGTGATCTGATTTACCTGTGTTTATTTGAAGTTTTCCATATTTCAGTCTTCAAATGATGAAAAAAAATTGAAGTTTTCAATAAACGATGAACATAAAGATATTCTGCAAGTCTTAGGATTACTTTTCTCATTTCTTTGTAAATTATTAAATTGCTTATCCTAGTAAGTTAAAGATCAAAATGAACAAAATATCTCCTAGCGCTCTAATGGATTTAATTTTTCTTTACATAACTTTGCAAAATGCTCCTTTTCCTTTATGATAATTACAAGAAGATAAATCCAAAAGCTGAAGCATGAGGCAAAAGACAATTTAGAGAAACCAAAAAACTCAAAGTCAAGGGCTTTTTTGCTCCAAAAATTTCTTTTTTTCTCTTTTTTCTTTTGTCAGAATTGGAAAGGGGATTTTGTGTCTTTTCTTTCACATTTAACATCTAAAATTAATTAAGTTAAATAGAACAACAATATTACGACAAAGTAGTGTATTTTATAAAACACACAAACAGAGCAATTAATTAGCATAATATGGGGATAAGATTATAATTTTCCATTTTATTTTTTAGCTTGACCTAGAGATGTGAGTTGGCTTTTAGTTTGGTCATTTTATATTATTAAATAAATTATTTACAATAACATCTTCAGCAAATCAAGATTTAACTCACTAGTAAACCCTCCTATCTTAAGCTACGTAAAGCAAGTCTCTTCTCTTTCCTCTGAACTTTAGGGCAAAACCAATATGGCCTTGAACGTCTCTTCCACAGCTTTCCTTACCACAGCCGCCGCAGCCTCCCTCACCTCAGTCTCCACTACCAACACCATCAAATATCTACTTGTCACCCTCTTAATCTCTATTGTTAGTACAGTTATAAAACTTCAAAGGAGAGCTGCTCTTAAAGAACCAGCAAAAATCTCCCTGTACCTCCCTGGCCAGTCATGGGAAACATACCAGAAATGATCAGGTATAGACCGACGTTCAGATGGGTTTACCAATTCATGAAAGAAATGAAAACCGATATTTGTCTTATTCGTTTGGGGAGAACTAACGTTATTCCTGTCAATTGTCCGATTACTGCGAGTGACCTGTGATGGGAAGTAACACAAACTGACCTCACAACACAAACTTCCCCACTTGAATGAATCTATTAGGAGTAACAATGAGCAACATTAATCAAGCAACACAAGCTGTCCCAAATCATTCACAATCAAAAATAACATTCACCACATGAACACAAATCTTTTTACGTGGAAAACTCCTCCGGTATGAAGGATAAAAACCACGGACCTCTCCTCCGGTCCAAGAAAATAAAGTTCACTATCACAAATATTGTCTTACAACTTACAGCAAGCTACAACCATCAAAATATGTAGCTATACCGCAAACAACCACAAACAAATGTGTAGCAACACAATAGAGTGATCACAAAACACAGCTGTTGTTCTCAATACATTTAAAAATGTTCTACTCATCCTTCTACTCATCCAAAAATTAAACTCAACTGATCAACCAGAATCAAGAGTTGGATGTTAGGAACAAGCTCACCAAAAATCAGCTCAATCCGACAAAGGATGACTGCCGAAACGCTGAAGAAGATGAATCTATGCAGAATTGGAAGAAGAACAGGACAACTTCGGATTCAGAGCCAAAACTCAATCTCTAAACCTCCAAATCAAAATCCCTACGGTGAGAATCAAGAACAGAGAGCAAAGAACAACATATCCAAAAATCACAAAGATCCAACGGTTGAAACTTTAGGAATCTCCAGAACACGATGACTGGTGCTGGATGGGGCTGTGCAGAAAAAACCCTCTCCTCTCCTCTGTTTTTTCTCTCACACGATTTCTGGTTGTGTGTCCCGATCAAATGAAGAGCCAAAAAATATTAGGAATATGGCTGTTTTAAGTTTGAGGGGATAAGTTGTAAATATGGCTGTTAGTTGAGGGGCATAATTGTAAAACAATAATTAGTTAGTGGACTTCAAAATATGGGCTTTTACCACATAGGAAGGGAACCAAGCCCAACAACCTGCTCAAGAAAAACGACGCCATTTTCTCTAACAGGCCAATGATTCTTTCTGCTAAAGCAATGAGTGGTGGTTATGAAACTACCATTGTCGTCCCTAACAATGACCAATGGAAAAATGAGAAAAATATTAACTTCAGAAATTATTTCACCTGCTAGACATAAGTGGCAGCACGACAAACGAACAGAAGAAGCTGATAATCTTGTATTTTATATCCATAACCAGTACAAGGCCAACAATAGTGTCAATCTGCGAGTTGTTGCAAGGCATTATTGCGGAAATGCGATAAGAAAAATGGTGCTTGGTAAAAGATACTTTGGTAAAGCAATGCCTGATGCCGGAGCAGGACGCGTGGAGATAGAACATGTGGACTCAGTTTTTGCTGTCTTGAAATACATATACGCATTTTGTATTTCTGATTTCATGCCTTTCTTGCTAGGGCTTGATCTTGTTGGGCAGGAAAAATTTGTTCTTGAAGCTAATAAGACTTTAAGAGGCTTTCATAATCCTCTTATAGATGAAAGGATTGCACTGTGGAGGAGTGGTCAAAGGAAGGAAATGCAAGATTTGCTTGATGTTTTTATTACTCTTTAGGATTCTGATGGTTATTATATTTAAAGTTCTGAACTTGAAATATGAAATACATAAATAAAAATCGATTTGCATGGTTATTATGTAATTAATTAGGAGGTGAGATTTATGACTCAAAGTTGCATTTAGTGGTGGTTTGTTATTGAGGGTTTCTTTGCAACTCTCAAAAAAATTTGTCACAGCTACATCTTGTATTTCATAAATGGCTTGCAATTAAATCTGCTGTTAATTACAAAATTATTTCTTTTCATTTCTTTTAATTAATTTAGTTCGGTTGCTGCTTGCAACTTTATAATCTTGAATACGACTAAAGTGTTATTGGATTAAACCAGTATTAGCTTATTACTTACCTGTGCTTGAGTCTCCTTCACTAATATGCTTAAAAGTAAAGAAATAAATAATCTTGCTTTTGTAAAACAATTGTTTTTTCAAGTTCACCATTCAGTTCTATCATGGTTTCTTATAAGATTCGTAAAATATGTACTCTTTTCAGGGGGTGGACACAGATTTAAGGGGGCTGTGCCCCAAAAAAAAAAAAAAAAAAAATTTACCCAAAAAAATAAAAAAAAAAAATTTAAACTTTTCAGTAACACAAATTGTTTTGAAAAAAAATAGGCTTTCTGTTCCTCCTCCATAATTAAGTAAAATATATTTTTTGGCTCCTTAACTTATTTAGACAATCTACAACTCTCTTTACTGAACTGACAGAGGCTCGTTCTTCACGATTGGTAGCACTCGTGAAAGGTCCTGGTTTTAACTTGTTCTGGTTTACTTGTTTCATCATCCATCTCCTAAGGGTTAAGAGAACTATGGCTAGGATAGTTGGTAAGGATCATAGAGAAAAGGAGTGAGTCTTCTTCATGTGCTTGAAGTCAGAGCGTACTGGAAGCAAAGCAAAGGCAAGGATCCAATTTCTCTCAAATCAAAGTAAGGAGTCTCCTTCTTCCGATAAGAAGAGTTCCCCGCTTCGGTGAAAAGAAAGAGCGAGAGTTGGTTAAGAAGCACGAATCAAGATCCACTGAATCGCTGCTTACTGTTTTGGCGCTCCCCTAACTATTTGGACTGAGTTTGGTACTTACTATGTTGAGAGATTCTGTTCTCCATTGAATATTTATATTGATTAGAATATGAGTATGGAAATCTAACATTTTTATTTCTCCACAACAATACCCATTTTATTATAATCTGTTCTAGGAAAGAAGTTATTTGATTAGCCTGTAAAACTTATTCATTTACTATTTAAAAAAGAAGTAAGTTCATAAAACTTTGCCATAAATATCAGGAATTATTCGTATATTATTATGCACAGATCCCTTCCTTCAAACACAGTTAGTTTTTCTTTTCCTTTCCAATCAACCAATTCCTGATGAACCAGTATAATAACAGAAGCAAATTCTCTCGAGATCCTAAGCCATGCCCATTTATCTTCATATAACAGCTCTCTTACTAATCTACCTTATATTTCCGTGGTACTTATCTTTTGAGTCAAAGGTAAAATATAAAAGACGAATAGTGCAATGGCTACTCCCATTAATACTGCCTCTTTTCATATTCAAAATCACTCATTACGCGCCGCTGATGGACTATTTCAGTCACTGCTCCTACGGCAAATCACACCAGTCAGCCATGCATGACCGGCGCCTCCTCCGCAGGTAAATTAGTCATACTTCTTAAATTAGTAATTAATATGCAGGCATTGTTGGGCAAAATTAATTATTTTAGTATGTTTATTTTATAATAGTAAAAAGAAAAAATAAATCCCACTTGAAAAACTTTTACCGAAAAAGACCTTTTAAGTATTTATATTAACTAGCAAGTCTAGAATTTGAATGCTAATATTTCTATCCTTTTTCAAATATCTTACTGGGCAAAGTTTTCATATAAATTGCTAAACAACCGCTTGTTAGCGTATAAAGAGAGATCAATCGCTAATTACCAATCCTTCTTCTAATATGATTTTCATGGCTGGCAATAGAATCTCCTATGCCCTAGAATTACTTTGCATAGATCCTTTACCATTCAAAGTATTTCTAATTCTTTTAGCCATTTTAATCTTCCTTTTCATGTCACGACCCCAATGTTACTCCTGTGTTGGTTTGTCAAAGGTTAAACCCACAAAACGTTGCATTATTAGTAAATGGGTGCTTCCTGTCACGCCGATTACGATGGTGTTGATCGTGCAATGCTTATCTTCTTCAAATGATACTTTCTCTGCCACTTTATCGCCATTGTTCTTGTTTTCTATCAGGAATTCGCATTGGTTTGTCTCTGCTTTGATTTGGCAGTTACTTGTTAGGGCATATTTCCAATTAACCATACGTCAGAAATTGTATTCTTCCTTTTAGTAAAATTTAATTCAATGTTGCAGTTGTTTTTTGAGGGAGAACTAATTGGGTATTAACAAAAACAAAAAGTTTCTTTTCTTTTTTATGAAATTTATTTGAAATTTCGTATTTTTATGTTTGGTAAAATGAAAATTTACTCAATTTCATTTTCACAGATTCCATTAGTGATTGAGATTTTAGTGTACTTCCTTGGAGCATAATTCTTATTATTAAGTCAAAAAACAAGTTTGTGTTAATTAATTAATATCTATTTAAATTGATTGATTCAAGATAGTTATTTTTATTTAATTATTCTCTATTCAAAAGCTATGAAATTGCAGTGGTATTAGAAATGTTGAGGACAAATTAGAATCGTTCTTTCTACTTCTTTTTGTATGTAAAGAAGAGAAATATACAAACACCAAGAAATGGTTTCATTATACAAACTGTAACTACAGAAATTTAACATGAAAAAGAAAAAACAATGGAGAAAATCTCACTTGAGCAGTCAAACTTGTATGAGATCATGGAGCATTTTCTTTTTTTCTTTTTTAAATACATGATCCTACATAAAAAGGAAAGGAAATATCAAAGCTGACCCAAAAAAAAGATACTACGGGCTTCAACAAATGCTGTAGATAATTCTGCAGCATTATCTTCCGCCAGATAGCTCCATAGCGTCCTGGTTATATAATGAATCTTCTCCCCAGTCAAATCTTCTTTGCAGCCTTTCATATTCTTGCCTGCGCGTAACCTCAATATGCTGCCACTCTTCCCATCTCTCAGCCAGAACCTCTCCTTCTAACATCCGTACCACCTCTGACATTGCTGGACGATCCTCCGGCGATGCTTGGGTACAGAGTAATGCAACCTGGATCATCATCTCCACATCCTGAACATTGCAATTTTTATTAAGGTTGCGGTCTACAATGGCATCCAGTCTTTTTTCCCTCTCGAGCTTCTTGACCTTCAAAAGCAAATTTTAGACTAGTATAAATAACTTTGTAAGTGTAGGTAGGAAGCAGAGAAAATACAAGCAAAATAATAATGCATTCTCATGCTCAGTTATCTCACATGGTCAAGCAATAGGACATCGTCCTCCTCTTCCAAGCGCGAAAAGTCAATTGCTCGTTGACCCGTTACAAGCTCTAGAATTATAATACCATAACCAAAGACATCTGTTCTCTCAGATGATTTCCCAGTAGATGAATACTCTGGAGCAATGTGGCCCATCGTCCGTTACAGCTCTAGAATTATATACCATAACCAAAGACATTGTTCTTCTCAATCTGTTCTCTCAGATGATTTCCCAGTAGATGAATACTCTGGAGCAATGTGGCCCATCGTCCCACGAACTTGAGTTGTCACATTAGTCTTTCTCACATCCACCAACTTCGCCAGGCCAAAGTCACCAACAACTGCTTCAAAATCTTCATCCAATAGTACGTTGGCAGCCTTCACATCCCGATGAATAATCTTAGGATTGCAATGTTCATGAAGGTATTCAAGTCCACGTGCTGCACCTAAGGCCACCCTTTTTCTTGTTGCCCAATCTAGAACAGGCTCCTCAGGTTTACGTTCTGCACCCAAGATTAAAACAAGTCAACCTAACACCAACGGCCGTTATCTTTTTAACTGGACAAGAATTGTACAAGATGTATAACCTCTGTCCCACTACAAGTGTTGTTTAAGTTTTTTTTTTTTTTTTTTTTTTTTTTTTTTTTTTTTTTTTATAACCTCTATCCCACTACAAGTGTTGTTTAAGATTTTTTTTTTTTTTTTTAATATCCCACTTCATTTGTCAATTTAGAAAATCAAGGAAGCATTAATTACTTGTTTCAACCTTTACCCTTGATGTTTGGTATTTCCCCTAAATAAGCATTAATTATTTATAGAGTTGATACAAGAGTATGTATTCAATTACAACTATTTTTCGCTGAAACTAAGGTTATTTAATGATTTTCTGAATCCTTGTGCACTTATCTCAAACAACACTTCGGACGGAGGTTATATATATATTATTGAATTCAATGTCCTATTTTAAATTACATGTGAAAGAGGTGCACAAGGTTCATAGGAATCATATTCCTTAAGAATTCGATAATACTATGTATACTGGGGTTTCCTAATCCTTGCCAATATAGACAATATAGATCAGTGCTATAACTATTTTCATGATCGGAACATAGTTTATAATTCCTATTCAAATACAAAATTCTTAGTAAACATACTGTACCATGTCAATTGCAGACAAAGCCTTTCCCAATGACACAGTGTTGTTAAATGATAATTAAAAATCAAATATTAACATTCAGCTGAATGGTAAATTCTCAAGTTCAACATGGATGAGTGTTTGAAATTCACCATCTTTCAATAACTATCTAATTTATTAGGTTTAGCATACAGCTTCCATGGTTGACAGTCGAAATAAAATTTTCTCATTCAAACATCCAACTTCCTCTTGTCCTCCACCATGTCCCTGATAATATGGATTTATCCTTGCCTAATCTCTGTAATAAAAGAAATCTAGAACGACATACTAAGTTGATAGGGAATATATGGTCTACTCCAAAATTATCTATTGAGCAGCTAGACACTCTTTGAAGTTATGGAATGTAGTACAAAGCATAGTGATGGCAGACGACTTGTTGGCTCAATGGTCAATTTCTAATCTCAGATTTTGATGATTAAAATAAAACAAATAAATTTAAATTATCTTTGTGCTAATATTATTTTATGCAAAATCCTTATGGGAAGAAATCGTACAAGGCAAGTCCTACAATGGTATGCAATCAGTTGTTCTTAGTTTGCTCGAGACAGAAAATCTACCTACCCCTCTAAGCATATATAACCTTAGGTATGCATTACATCTCGAACTAAAAAAAATAATCTTTCTCGATAATCAAAAAATATTTTTCGGAAATTAGATTTTCCAAAATATAAATTCATTTCGAAAAAATATATTTTCTTTAAGTTAAAATGATTTAATTTGATTTAATTTCCTAAAACTAAAGAGATTACGTCTCTAAATGTTTTTGGTAATAAATCATACACTTTACTTTTCGGAAATATCTTATGAAAATCTAAATGAACTTCAATTTATTCTCTTACCTTAAAATGAAGGGAGAATCTTTTCGTTTTTAGTAAGAGCAACCTATTCGAAAAATATTTTCCAAATAAAAATGCTTTCGAAAATCTTTTTTGATTATAAGAAAAATCGTCTTTCATTCTTCTTACCAAAAAGGATAAGATAAACTTTTGGTAACTAAAGATTTTCGTATCTTCTAAACAAGGAAAGGGAAGCAAATTTCTGATTTCATAATGAAATGATCCCTTTCCAAAAGTAGAAGACCACGATGCTCTCTATAAAAGGAGCTTCACGTCTTGAGCCCATGGTGAAGTAAGAGTTTTCCGTTTTAAGAGATTCTCATCATTGATCCAATCTTTTCTCTCAAACTTACTCTCTAACCCCATTTTCTTTTCATCTTTACACTTCACGTTTTTATCTTTAAAAGAGAAAAGATGTTTAGTAACTACTTTTGAAAACGGTTCTGTGTTCTAAACGATGTTTCTAATCTGATAAACTGTTTTTCATGTGCTTAATATGTGCATTTCTTTCTGTCTATTTTAGATTCTGTATCTATAGTAGCAGGCTTTTTATATTTGATAAACGTTTGTGTGAATAGCTTTAGGTTTAAAAGGAGCTATTGGTGAAAGAGGCTATCAAGCGACCTTCTCCTTATGTGGATTCCTAATATGTCTTGAATTGAAGTTTTCTGTACTCTGGCCAAAAACAGAACAGGGTTGAGATTGAATTAGAACCTTTGGAAAAATTCTAGTGGGGATAAAGAGTAGATCTAGGTGTTGATCTAATTGCCCTGTTATGTGGTTTGTCCTTACCTTGAAAAGAGATAACATAGTTGAGATCTCAAGATGAGTTCTTTCGGGAGTAGATGTAGGCGAGGTTAGTGCCGAACCCACTATAAATCACTGTGTCGATGCTTTTTAATTTCTGACAAGTTTGCTTGAATACTGTTTTAATACATCTTCTGTTTATATTTTAGAAATGCTAAAATTTGGTAATGATTCAATGCTCTAAAACTGTACATAAGTCTTATCTTTCTGAAACATTAGAATTCTGGAATCTGATAAGTGAATATAACCATGTTCTAATCGTTATTCTAGTTAAGTATAGTTACTTGCTGGGTTTCTAATTATTTTCTAAAACTTTATGAAAAGTTCTAATTACAATAGCTTTCCATCATAAAGTAGTTCTGATACTGATTAAGGTTTTGTGAAGCAGTTCTAAAATTCGATAACTGTCTCTCAACAGTCTATTATGATTTTTCTATAACTTTAATGAGTGAAATTCTAATCTCAATAGTTTTCCTTCATAAAACAGTTCTGATATTAAGATAAAGACTTGTGATAACAGTTCTATATTAATAGCTGCACTGTTGCATTGTCTTTCTATCTTTTATGAATAGAAAACAGTTGTGAGGTAGTTCTAAATCCATATTTCTAATCCATATTCTAATCTCACGAGTTCTATATTTTTCCGCTACACTTAGAATTTTATATTCTGTTTTTAAATTCTAAAAGATTTTTAGAAAACCCAATTCACCTCCCCTCTTGGGTTGTGCCATACATATGCGGGACCCACACGACTTTCTAATGCCAATTTAGTAAAGCTTCTCCTGTGCACCTTTGATAAGTATTTTATCAAATTTGAATCATTCTGAATTTTAATAATAGCAATCTAACTGAAGTATTCTTTTATCCACTCTGGAATAGACCTAAACAGGGATGTCAAATGGTATGCAATCAGTTGTTCTTAGTTTGCTCGATACAGAAAATCTACCTACCCCTCTAAGCATATATAACCTTAGGTATGCGTTACATCTCGAACTAAAAAAAATAATCTTTCTCGATAATCAGTTTGATTAGGATAAAATTCTATCCTCTAGAAACCGTACATGCGCCTTTTGATGCATACGGTTCAACACAAATTGCGAAAACAAAAAAAGAATCAATGTGTGGATTCCAGCCCTCCTTTGACCAGCTATTACATGATCATTGAGCAATATGTTTGGCGCATGCTTTCAGGAATATATAAAATTAGCAACATCTACAATGCAGAAAATGCCAATGAATGAAAAAGCAAATTGTTAGTTGCTTCAATTTAAATATAAGGCAAACAAGTAATACCTCTTAGACGATATGCCACACTTAAATTCGGCATAAATGGATAAACTAAAAGGCGTTCTGATGGTGTTGTGCAAAAACCTATCAGCCGTAGTAGATTCCTGTGAACAGCTACGCTTATCATCTCAACCTCACGTCTTATCATCTCAACCTCACGTTGGAAAGCTCCATCTCCTCCTGGAGTTTCAAAATCAGTTAAACGCTTAACAGCTACTTTCGTGTTATCTTGAAGCACTCCTTTATAAACTTTTCCAAAACCTCCCTGTCCAAGTATGTTTTTCTCGTTGAAGTTTTCCATCGCCAACTGTAATTCCCGATATGCAAACCTTTTCAATTGACCAAAAACAATTCTTCTGTCAACTTCACCTAAACCAAGAATAAAAAATCAGGTATTTTCAAGGTTTACTAAAGCTCCGTTTGTTTTCCTAAAATAATTTGCAGGAAATTTTTTTAAAATCTTCATATTTTAATACCAAATGAAAGAAAATAAATATATTTTAATACCCATATGTTAAAAGAATATTTAGAGTGTGTTGGGATCAATGCTTCCACTTATTCCCCTTATTTATTTTCACCACCGATGATCTAAGCTATTTTTCACAATATTTCATCGTATTATATTATCTAAGCATAAATATGCAAACTTTTATGTTTACAATGAATCAAAAAGAGGGAAAAATAAATTAAATTTAAGATTAATTACCTATAATAATCTTAGTGAAAGTTTAGAAATCCTAAAATATCCTTAGTTTCTGATCGATTGATAATAGTTTGAGTTTTTAATAATCGATAAATTAGAGTTTTTAATACTTTTTTTATTCATTGATTAAAAAAATATTATTATATTAATATATTATTCTAATTGAATTTTCAATTTTTGATTATTTACGATATTAATTGTTTTAATTGTTTAAAAAATAGATTATTTTTTAATTTTAAAATAAACTCAAATGCAAAAAAAAAAAAAAAAAAAAAAAACCAAAAAAACCTATAAAAGATATTGATTTCACATGTTAATATATATAATCACTTTCAAAGTTTTGAATTTTTTTTAAATTTATGTTCTATTTATCTATATTGAAGTTTCGTTGAAGTTTTCCAATTTATATGGTATAGATTAAGGCAACATTTTAATTTTTTTTTCTTTTTTCATGAATATTGGTTGTCAAAATATCATATACTATTAGATCATTTTCAATTCCTGCGAAACAGGTTCTTCTATAAACATAAGAACCGCATACTAAAGGATTTTAAATAACTATATATTCTCTACATCTCAACATAAATTAATCAAAGCAAAACACTCTTAAAAAAAAAAAATCAAAAAATGGATATAATATGGTCCTCAAAGCTTTCAATTAATTGAAATTTGTCGATCTCAATACCGTTAATCTAAAACGGTATCAAATCCAAAATCAAAATGATCTTTTCTGTTACCGATCAGAATTTGTTTATGCTGAGGTTCAGGAATATTTGAGTTCTGTATTATTATTATTTATTTTAGAGTTTTATTTTTTTTATTTGATTTTCATGAATTCAAATCAATATCCAATAACATAGGATCATATTATTTAATTTTTTTAAAAAGAAATCGATGCTATTAACCTTATCATTTTCAAAAAAATTAAAGTCTAATCTTATAATCTTATACTTAATAATAATTCATTTCATTTTTATCTTCTATAATTATTTATTAAATATACTTGGCTTTTAACGTTGTTCCTATTCATATTAAATAATTTAAGAAAAATATTATTTGGCTTATTATTTGAATATTACAAAATTATACAATTAAGAATAAATTATATATCATACTTGAGATACTATATAAAAAATTATAATCATACTTAATACTATATAAAAATAAATTAATGAGTATAAATTACAAAAAATACCAAACAATAACAATGCAACGCACGTGGTAAAAAACACCAAGTACTATTTAAGTTTTCATACATTTTCTAAATTGACTCTGTCAGTAATCGATATGAAATAAAGTGATCCTAGAGAACAAAACTGGGTCCCGCGGCTCATCCCGAGCCCCGAAGGCTAAAATATATTTTCGATTGGGCTTAAATTTATAATTTTCTACCTTTAAATATTTTTATTCGAACACGTTGAATGGTCAGCTGTAGTTCCTCAAGCCGAATGTTTAACAGTTTAAGGTCAAATGGCATAAAAAAATAATTCAAAATATTTTACTTAAAATTTTTAAAACCAAGTTGATGCCAAATATGTAAGTAATTCTTTTACATATAAGTAAATTTTAGTTTTCAAATCAAGTTTAAATAGCGAAAATGTTGTTTTTCATTGTATAAACCAGCTCAACAAATATGTATTAAATGTTATTTTTCATTCTATAATTCTCATTTTCTTTTTTAAGTATGAGATCACAAAGTATTTCTAGAAGGAGAGATTTTTTTAAAATTGTTGGAATTAATGGATAGGTATGGATACACCCATTATTAGCCATTTTAACCCGGATCCATTAATAATACGTGATAATAATTAATATGTCTAATTATTATTATGTGTATTTAAATAAGTGTAAATATCCTAGTTTGATATATTTTAGAGATTTTGTGTTTTAGTTGGATTCCTTCAACCTGTTAGGATTTGATGGTCTATTTTTAAGGCTGTTTAGTTAATAAATCCTGTTTCTTTAGGATGCTTAGTTGTTTTGTTTTATTCAAAGTTGTTAGCGTATTAGACTCCTTTTCTTTTTCTTTTTCTTTTCAGTTGTAATGTACATCTATATAAAGCTGACCTTCTTCTTTTCAGTTTTCTCTCATTTGATTGTCGAATTCAAATGTATTTCATTATAAAAGGTTTTACTAATTTGATAAAGAAAAATGCTATGTCTACTTTATTTTATAACTAACAATGAAAAGAGAATGAAACTCTCATTACAAATTAATTTAAGTGTCCATAAGATGACCAATTATATTCTTTATCTTAATGACTTTTAGCAAGGTTTCTTACTTCTCCAATTTATAGTTGGTGACTAGATGAGATAAATGTGGTTGAATTCATTTAAATTTGTGTAACATGCGGATGGTCAGATGAAACACTCCAATGTAAAGTCCAGTGATCAACCAATGATAAAAAGTTAGTACTATTAAATTAATTGACTAGTTTACCATCCTTATATACGCTTTATAGATTGACTATTTAGTTGATGTGGAATTGTTAACAACTAGTTGGATTAAATCAAAAGAAATAGAAGATGATAAAGTTTAATTCTTGGTATACGTTTCTAGTGTTGGGCATGAGAGATTGACCCTCCAATATGGCGTGATGGAGTAGATCGCCAGCCACCCTTCTCACTGCAACCATTATTTGGGAATTGCGTTAACTTGTCTAGCTAGTTCAAAGCATTTCAATCTTAATGTACAACATGTGGACTACAATAGATGACTTTGAATGTGTCTAGCAATCTAGCCACATATTCACGTTTGAGGCATCTAGCGTATTATACAACTTACAAGCCATCAATATATATATATCGGTCAATAAATATCCTAAATCTCCTTATATTTTCTTAAATTTTCAGTATCAATTATATATCAATAAATATCCTAAATCTCCTTATATTTTCTTAAATTTTCATTATCAACCTATGTTATTTAGAATATTTATGCAGATATAAATATAAAGGCGGATTTTCTACTATATATTCATCGAAATTTTAGCAACATCTCTCTGTGTAAGAGTGTTCAAGTGTACAAAATGGATAATCTAATATACAACTCAAGAACGGGGAGATATAAAAGATATTCTAACATAAAAACGACATTTTCATAATTATATTCAAATAAACAAATTTATTTCTAAATTATCTATCATAGACAATCCAATGTGCTTCATTTAATTAAGAATTATACTTGATAAGTTCTTTTAATGAATTGCACTACAGGTGCTTATTCTATGTAATACAAATATTGAAGGAAATTGCTTAAATATTAATAGCTGTGCATGGAAGGATATGTTTGGCCAAATTAGTTGTTTTGGTAGTTGTTAGTTGTTTGAGTACCGTTTAACGTTTAGCTGTTTGAATAACTTTTCATAAAACGCTAAAAGTTAAATTTTGTATGAATTAACTTTTTATAAAATACTAAATTAATATCTAAAAGTCAATTTAAACACTGTATTATCTAATACCGTAAAAAAATATTAAAATGTGCACAAGTTATAGCCGTGTGATTAGAAATTGTATAATTCACCTTCTTTCTACATCGTTCCATGCACCCCTACTACGTCCACATGCAGAGGCCCTTGGCGTTGATGGAAATATTAGGTGGCTATTGCATCCACGTAGTATAACTAATTGGTGGGTGGGTGATGTGATAATGATATGGGTACCAGAATAAGCATTAAAATATAATTTTTCTCATTATGTCAAAAAATATATATAATATTATATATATATGTATACTAATATATATATAAATAAAATTTAACCTATCGCGAATCTATCACCCTCACTTATATTTCTAATAAATGAAAATTAAATATTTTTATAAAAACACAATATATATACATACACATATTTACATGGGCATGTTCAGATATATTATAATATATATTATATATATTATATATATATAATATATATAAAAAGAAAATGTAATACCTGAAAAAATAAATAAATGATTTAATTAATTCCCCATTTCTTAATCACTTTCACTCACACAATAAAAAAAAAATTTTGATAAAAAGAAAAGTAGCATCTGCAATTCATCAATTAATATATGTATGACAATTTGAAATTTAACTCAAGTCTCGTGATGCGTGGGTCCCATCACTTTTATTGTTTATAGTGTTTATAGTGTTTAAGGGATTAATTTGATTTTAGGATAAAATCGTGCAACACGTAAAGTTTATAGTATTTTAAATGAATTACTTATACATATAGTCATATATTAGTATAAATCAGGAAATTATTTTTCAATCAAGAAATTTGACTTTTTTTATAAATAAATTTTAAACTTCACAGAAATGTACTGTACATGCGTCTAATGCATAAATTTGACTCTAAACTTTTGTCAATTATTTTTGTGGTCTCTTGAACTTTGTGAGAGTCCAATTATAACCCTACACTTTCACATTTCACTAATAATTATATCGCTCGTCAAAATGAAATATCTTGACTAAAATTCCATATCAATGACCCTATATTTTCACATTTCATTTTGGTCATGAGCATAGTTATTATTGAAATGTGAAAATGCAGGGTTATGAAATGTTCCTTGCAAAATTCAAGAGGCCACAAAAATAACCGCAAAAAATTATAAAATCAAATTTATGCATTAGGTCTTACCAATTAGACAATTTGTCAAATTAAATTAAAGAGGAAAAAAGAAAGAAAGGTTTAAGTTAAGTTCATTCATATATATATATATATATATATACATATATATTACATATATATATAATATATATATATATATATATATATATATAGACCGGGGTGATTTCCGCCCTTATGTAAGTTCTTTCATGTTGTATATATATAATTATCACATTGATACCATTTTAAAAATTGATTTCATCTAATCATCTAACCTAAGTAAAAACATATTATACAAATTAAACATGTTTACTTGAATCCAAAACCTTCACTTTGAATTTTTGAATCCAAAACCTAGCTATAATTACTTGAATTAAACATGTTATACAAGTGTAACTACCGTTTTCAAGTTTTGGAATGAATGAAATTGAAATAGAATTAATTTACCTCCTCAAATAATTAAAAAAGAAAATATAAGATTATTGATGATCCGTTTGTTTCTGTAAAATAATTTGCTGGAAAATATTTTCCTCCTACAAAAATTTTTTCCTAATGACTTATTTTCCGTTGTTTAATTACAATATTGAAAATTAATTAAAAATATTAAAATCTTTATCTCATAAGATCATAAAAAATATTAATAATAATACGAAATTTATAATTTAAAAATTTTATTATTAAATATGAGAAGAATGTAAAAAAAAAATCAAATTATGAAAGCCGTCGGTAGATAGTGGTGGTGGCCGGTGGTGGTAGCGAAAGGTGATAGTCGGTAGTAAATAGTGACTGGTAATGGTGACTACGAGGATTTATATATTAAAAAGAATATGAATTTTGGCATTTTAACAATTTTGGTCAATTCTTTTAATTGCTACAATTGATACCGGGAAATAATTTTTTCTTAACAATTGTAGCCTCCCTCCATCAACCTTTACTACGGTGCCGATGTGGGCATTAGTGGAACCCTCGCCATGACAAGTCACTTGTTGACAGTAAATTTGTAAGATATGATTGTTAAAAGAATTGGCCAAAATTGTTAAAAAAAGCCAAAGTTTAGAGTTTTGTTAAGCTAAAGTTTATTAGTTTACCAATTTTAGTCAACATTATTACATGCACACCAAGACATAACTCAGTGATAAGTGCATATACAATTTGGCAATAGATCCAAATTTTTTTATTAAAATTAATTTCTAATATTTATGTAATTTATTTATCAATAAATAATTTTATAACTTGTAATATTCAAATTTAATTTGATAAAGATAGTTAAATATTATTAATAAATTTTTGATTAAATTTTGATTATAATATTTTTTATTTTAAATGATATATTATAATAATTAATGACAAACAATTAATATTATGCTAAAAAAATTTATTTTATTTTAATAAGAATTAATTGAGAATAATAATTATATGACAACAAAATAAATGAAGAAAAAAAATTTGAAAAGGAAATTATAATTTGAAAATTCGAAAAGTTACATTTTAAGATTGAGAACTAAAAGCATGAAAAAATGGTGTTTCGCAATTCAAGCAAAAAGATACTATTTTCTTATCTTAACTCATAAATATAATATACATTCTTAATATTGGAACACATGCCATCGAATCGAATAGGTAATCTTTTAATTAATTCCCCATTTCTCAATCATTTCTTAATCACTTTCACTTTCACTTTCACTTACACAATTAATCAATTAATATATGTATGACAATTATGGCTCCACATGGTTATCGTTTAAAATCAGCTTATGAATGCAACGATGACAATTTGAAATTTAACTTTTTTTATAAACAAATTTAAAAATTCACAAAAATATATTTTACTTGCATCTAATGCATAAATTTGACTCTAAACTTTTGTCGATTATTTTTGTGGTCTCTTAAACTTTGAGAGTGTCCAATTATAACCACACACTTTCACATTTCATTAATAACTATGTCTCTCACCAAAGTGAAATATTACTAAAATTTCATATCAATGACACTACATTTTTACATTTCATTTTAGTCATGAGAATAGTTATTATTGAAATGTGAAAATACAGCATTATGAAAAGTTCCTTGCAAAATTCAAGAAGCCACAAAAATAATCGCAAAAAATTATAAAATCGAATTTATGCATTAGGTCATTATTTATGAGAGTTGAAACTATCCGTTTGCTAAATTTATGTAAAAAAGACATCCATCACTTACCAATCAGACAGTTTGTCAAATTAAACCAACAGACAGTTTTGTCAAATTAAAGAGTAAAAAGGAAAGAAAGGTTGAATATCGTTTTACCATAAGAAAATATGAAGTAGATTAGTAGATTAAATTTATAATAAAAAAAGTAGATTAAGTTTGAATTTGTTAAATTTAATTTTCAAATAGAATTATTATATCAATATAATTCTTCAAATATATTACCATGAATTTTTGAAATTAAAAAAATTATCCAATCAAAATGTAGAAAATAAAGAAAAAATTAAAAAATTTCTCCAAAAAGAAAACGAAACTTACGGAGCCCATCCATTCAGCGCAAGTCGTCGAGAAAGATTGTTCTTTTACAAATAAAACACTGAATAAAGAGAAAGCTTAGAACTTTCTTCTTTTTTCAACTTTCATATATATAACATAAATGAGGAGGTGAAAAACTAAAGATTTAATATTAATATCAAATTTAACTTTAAACTTATTTATTATTACAAATCTAATTCTTTTGATTACTAATAGTTATAGCGTTCAATAATATAATATCTACTCAAACTTTTAGAATTTGAAACAGTGTTTTATGAAATCTTATCTTATTTTTATTTACATTTAGCATTTTATAATTTCTTTATGACACTTATACTCATCATTTGTCTTACTTTATTTCTCGCTTTCATACATTTTTTATCATTTTATAGTAAACAGCTAATCATCTTAGCCAACGCTTTTATTTTAAACCGCTATATAATGGATAACCATTAACACTTAATATTTAATAGATAACTACTGTTAAAACACTGACAGCTATTAAAACAGTCAACAGTTACTAGAACAACTAAATTTATTAAATAGACCCAAAGTTATTATTCGGTTGGGAGAGTTGGAAGTGACCAAGAATGTAAGAAGTATAGTAGTAAGTTCTAAAAGAAAATCATTTATTTTTCCAAAAGAAAAAAAAAAAAAAGACAATCATTCATATTATCAATTCGAGTTATTTTGGTAACAATAGAACCTCATCATAAATTTCAATCCAAATTATTTATTTGCACCAAATTATTTATTTGCACCACCTCTTCTCCAGAATATAAATTTCAAATTAAAAATTTGGCAGGAAGAAGGGTGGAAGGTCTTTCATTAAGGCAATATTTGGATTTATGATTCTTAAATATAGAGATAATCACTATTAACAATAAAATCTAACACATGAATATAGGAAATTTAATGGTGATGCACCATTTTATTTATTTATTATTGAGGCATAACACATGATATCAACGAGAAAAAAAAAAGGCTAAAATAGGGAAACAAACATAAAAAATAATAAAATCTTAGTCCCACTTGTGCTTTTTTGGAATAAGTATAAGATCGTGCTTGTTATGGATAGTGAGACCACCAGCTTCTTCCATTGGAAAGTCCCCACCAGCTTTCTTTCCATTGGAAAGTCCTCAATTTCGTTCATTAGGGAGCCCAAAATCAAACCGCATATAAAAGATTAGCCCAATGTTGTATTTAAACTGCTACTGTACCCTTGCCAGACCAGGACAAATCTTCTTCCAGCTTCCGAATGACCAACTCAAAGTAGGACCCTCTGTAATCAACATCACTGTTCTCAAATCTTTCTGGGTAAAATTCTTCAGGGTTCTCCCACTTAGATGGTTCTCTTCCAAGTGCATAAGTGTTGATGAATACTGTTGTGCCTGGTAAAATGTCATACCCACCAATTTTGCATTCTTTGGTGCAAAAATGAGGGATCAGAAGTGGGACTGGTGGGTGTATTCTGAAGGTTTCTCTTACTATTAATTCCAAGTATTTGAATTTATCAAGATCTCTTCCTTCTACTCTGTTTTTATTTGGTCCAACAATTCCTCTTATCTCTTCTTGTACTTTTTTTATTATTCTTGGATTCTTTAGTATCTCTGTGAATGCCCATGCGGTTGTCACAGAACTTGTATCAATGCCACCCACAAAGATATCCTGCCAAAAAATGTATTATAGTTTTAGAAGATTAGCCTGGAGATCCACAAAAAAGAAAGAACATTATTTGAAAGAAAAATTGAATTTGATACCATGAGAATAGACTTGAGATGGTCTTTAGTAAGTTGGAAAGAAGCACCTTGGTCTCTCATCAGCCCAACCAAGACATCAACAATATCTTCATGTTCAGGCTTAGGTCTATTTGGGTCCAGATGCCGCTCAAGAATTTTCCAGATGCCGAGATGCCGCTCAAGAATTTTCTGAAAATACCCATCAAGGTTTTTGAAAGTTTGTTCTCTTTTAGCAAGAGCACCAGTCAAAGAATCAATGAATCTTCCAGCACTAGGGAAAAAATCCTCCGCATGAAAATTGTTTAAAATATCCATAACCTTGTTGGAACTCCAATTGTCCATAGCTCCTTCCGAAAGCAACAGTACCCATAATACCATCAATCACGTTAAATATTAGCTCCGTAAGATTAACTGGATTAGGGTATGCATTTGTTAAAATATTGTTTAACTTGTCAATCTGCTCTTCTCTTGCATACCAGAACATATGCACTCTTTTCATACTCAAAAGCTGAAAAATAAACAACTTTCTCATTTCTTTCCAGTAATCAGAATATGGACGAAACGCAACATCCAAGAAATTATATGACAGTCTACGAGGCCCGACCGATGAAGGGCGACTGCAAGTTTCAAGATCATGGTCTTTTATGACTTCTCTTGAAGCCTCTGCACCAGAGATAACAACACCAGGTGATCTCCCTAATTGAACTCGCATGCCAGGTGATCTCTAATTGACTCGCATGAAAGGGCCATATTTTTTGTGACAACTTCTCCACAAATCGTAGTAACGGCCTGTCGCCTTAAATGGTTGAAGATTGCCCAAATAAATGGGGAGTCGTCTTGGACCTGGTGTATTTAGGACTTCAGTTCTCTTCTTGGCTTTTGAGAGAAAGTGAAAATTGGAAGAAGAAAGACTGCAAGAATTGGAAGCCATTGTTGGTTGAGAGAAATTAGATTTGATATAGACATTTCCTGTTGTTGTTAATCTTTTTTGGTGTGGTTTAGATTTGAAAGTGGAGATGATGAGTGAACCCTTTAAATACTGCAGCAATGTAGTGAACCAGAGACTTGATATTTCTTTATGAGGAAATATAATAAATATATTAATTATAGCACACATTTTTTTCATATATTTAATATTTGCAGTTGTATCACCTACCTTGTTACACATGTGATTTTTAGTCATTTTAATAGGCATCCCCTTCAAATCAAAACCGAACAGTAACCGAGTTAAAATTGCCATCATACCCCAATCAATGGCATCCGATTTCAAACCATAATCGAAATCATATTTTTATTGTTTGGTTTCGATTTTTCATTTTCTAAAATTAGAATCCAAGATTCTAATTTTAAACTATGAAAAACTAAATTTTACAAGAAACAGATAATATTTTTTTTTTGTTTTGTTATAATTTTTTAAATTAAATTTTAAAACTTTTAATTATTAGTTTGGTTTAGTTTGTCCAATAGTACTATTATTATTATTATTATTATATTATTATTTTATTATTATTATATATTATTATTATTATTATTAACTTTTTATTCATTATTATTATTATTTATTCAAAATACAAAACTAAAAAAAAAAGTTTGAAAATGATTATCTAATTTCGGTTTCAAATCAAAACGAAATCAAAATCGGTGGTTCTGAAACCATTTTAAAGTGTGCCTAAAAATGATTTAAATTTTGATTCAATCCTTAAAGCTTTTATAATCGAAATTCACAGTTTTAAAACCGAAACCAATAGCTCCAAAACTATGATCATAACTACCTCTCTCACTCTCCTTACAATAAGACTCAAACTCAAAACCTCTAATTCCTCACACTACTGAAAAAAACCAACCATACCACATCTTGTTGGCATAGAATCTTATATTTTATTATTTCGTTGAAAATAATTACATAGTTTGGAATGTTATTTTTAAAATAAAATTAAATGATTTAAATTTCATCGTTCATATAAAAGTATGTAATTAATAAAGTTCCCAACTCTTAGCTGAGATTTCTCTCTCTTAAAATGATGAAATTGAAGTAATGATAAAATTCATCAATTTTATGAATTACTTTTTCTCAACCAAATAAAAAAATCCAAGGAATCAACATAAATGTTTAAATGTGTGTTTGGAAAGAAATGTGTGTTTGGAAAGGTGGAAAATAGCCGAGAAAGGAAAATAATTGAGTGAAATAAATGAGGAAAGTTATTTTCTTCTGTTTGGATTATGTTAAGAAAATTGCAGAGGAAGGAGAATCTGTACTGAAATCCTCTTGGCCCGCAATTTTTCAATCTCTTTTCAATCTCTCCGAATCGGAGATAAAACAACAAATTTTGTGGGAGATTTTCAATGTTTGTACAAAATTACAAAAAAAATTCATTTCCCTATCTCCAACAATTAACTCCTCTGTCTTGTTTCCATGTCGCTGCAATTCGCCACAAATAGCAAATATAGCGGATGGAAATTGGAAAGAACCAAAATATTATTGTTGATGCTTTATATTAAAAAAATAAATATATTAAATTAAATAGTAATTAATTAAATATATTATTTTTATTTGTCAAGTAAACTTGTAACATTATACAAAATGTTAAGGTTAAAACTGCAATTATGCAACAGTAATATTTTCTTTCCTCTCCTTATTTTCCTTTCAATCTAAAGTGGAAAATATCGAAGGAAGAAAATAAAACAATGTTTTTTTATTTTCCTTTGTTATTTTCCTTTCTTCCTTATTTTCCGTTCTCTCTTTCCAAACAGCGAGTAAATTTATGACTTCTTATTTTATTTTTACTCTAATATCAAAATATCAAAATATTAAACCTTAGTCAAAAATCAGACTTCAATATATATATATCCGTCAATAAATATCCTATCAGACTTCAATATATATATATCCGTCAATAAATATCCTAAATCTCCTTATATTTTCTTAAATTTTCAATATCAACCTATGTCATTTAGAATATTTATGCATATAAATATAAATGCGGATTTTCTACTATATACTCATCGAAATTTTAGCAGCATCTCTCTGTGTATGGTTCTTTGAGTGTACAAAATGGATAATCTAATATGCAACTCAAGAACAGGGAGATATAAAAGATATTCTAACATGAAAACGACATTTTCATAATTATATTCTAATAAACAATTTTATTTCTAAATTATCTATAATAGACAGTCCAATGTCTTCTTATCATCCTGTTGAGAAAAATACAAAATGTGTAACAATGATAACTATCTTAAATTTTATTTGTTTAAAACCTAATCTCAGAAACTTAAATAAATCCAATTCTAAATAAAATTATACAAAGTATATATACTGATTAAACTATACATTAAATATACATTAATTAAACCAATTTACTTTTATATACTGATTAAAATATTATTGTACAATAACATTACACTATTTGTTCTAATAATATCAATTGAAATTAATCAACTCCAAAAATAAAAAATAAAAAACAATTTCAATTAAAATCAATCAACTTCTAACATCAACAGTTACATAAGATAAATAATTAATTAAACAACAAATTACCAAAGAAAAATAAAACATAAATAATAGTAGAAAGTGAATGAATAATAGTAAAAAGAGAAGTGGTATATTTTCTCGAACGTGTGTCATCGGCGTTGATGAATAGTGCATATTAATGAAATACGACCACTGTTGATTGATACTGGAGGGTGTTAAAAGAGAGATCATGGCAAAAAAATTGCCTTTTTATTTTAAATTAAAATTACAGACAAATATTTCAATCAGTAATGTTTTAAAATCTGTCCCTAAACTAGTTAAATGAACATGCTACATGTCCGTTACAAAGCAAAATTGCATCACTAATTGTCTTTAATTAATTGTTTCATTTACGAGATGAAATAGTACCATCGCTATTCTTTGTGCTTTATTTTATTTTTCATTACTACGGTAAACACAGTCCGCCGCTAAAATATGACAGCATTTTATTGGAAATTCGTTCATTATTCAGTAAATTAATTAGTTTATCGTTGATGATAATCTGTGGTTATTTAGTGTATCTAATTACCATTTCTTATAGTGGAACTGTAGAATTGATATCTATATGTAATTTTTTTTAAATATAAAAGATTTTTTTTTAAATATAAAAGATAGATTTAGTAATACCTTAGATGTCAATAAGTCTTAGGTTTGGATCTCACCAATATTATTATAAAATCTAAATTTACAAAAAAATTCTTGAGTATTTGTTTTAAGTATAAATGTCAAATATTATTCCTTACCACTCATCTAAACATGTCTTTACTAAAAAAAATAAAAAATAAAAAGAGAGAGCTCAACATTGAGAATCTTCAACATTGAGAATCTTCTCCCTTGCATGATATATAGGGCAGATCTACACTTTGGGCAACGAGGGCACCAGCACACTGGCTTTTTACAGTTTAATTTATAATTTTTTACATTTTAGTATATATAACTAACATAAATTTCTATTACTTAAAAAAAACACAAATTAAGCTTATGACATAAAAATTAATTTAAATAAACATATTTTTTTTCAATTACGTATTTTATTTTCATATTTCTATGTTTTAAGGATGAAAAAAAATCCTAACTGTTAATTCTTTTAAATTGAGACAATTAGTTCTCACAAGTTTCAATCTTAGTCAAATTCCATTCAGCAACATATATTACGATTTCAATGGCTTTTATAAATAAATAATTAACTCCTCAAATTTTTGAAAAATATGTTAAATTATTTTTTTAATAGCTGTTAGGTTCCAAACTCCAAACCCCTTTCCTCATTTCTTTAACTTGTAATTTCTGCTCTTTAATAGGTTTATGTAATTCAAAATGATTCATTTGAGAAAATTGTAATTGTGTAATAATGTATTATAGTTTGATAATATATTATTGGCTCAAGGGTCAATTTTTTCTTGAGATTTTGATGATTAAGCATAATAAATAAATTTAATTTTTTTATTTGTGTTAATATTATTTTATGCAGACTTATTTATTTTTATATAGAAATTAATAAACAAGGCAAATTCCATCAAATCTAAGTTTAAATGAAGAGCATGAAGACCATTAAAGATTTTAGTGGTTAAGTATATTAGGATTTGTTGTAGGATAGAGAGAATATTCTTTTATCAGCACATAGGATTTGTTGTAGGATAGAGAGAATATTCTTTTATCAGCACAAAAATATTTTTCTCTCTCACTCAAAATGATTTTCAGAAATTACCTTAATTTATAAAAGATAAATCATGATTCTTTTCGATTTTCTTACCTAAATAAAAGAGATTTGTCTTAATCATTTATGGTAACAAATTTTCCATTTTCGGAAATTTAATTTACTTACCTAAATGAAAGAGATTTTATCTTAATTATTTTTAGTAATAAAATATTTTGAAAAAAAATTTTATATTTATTTCCGAAAACTATTTTTAAAGAAAAGTCTAATATCTTATTTTTATTAGCTTAACTTAAAAGAAAAGATTTTGAATCAAAGAATTTTTAGCAACAAGATATCCTTATCTTCCAAAATTTAGAAAGTCAATATTCTTATTTAAAATGAGAGATTTTACTTTCTAAAATGGGACTTTCATCCCTCTCTATAAAAGACGTCTTTCCCTTGTAAAGACGTGGGTTTTTATTTTAAGAGTAATTTCCCTTGTAAAGACGTGGGTTTTTATTTTAAGAGTAAGTGTCCATTGATCATATATTTTAATCTCTCAAAACTCACTGTTTACCCCCTCATTGATCATATATTTTATTTTCATCTCAAAACTCAAAAGTCAATAGACTCTTGTTTTTATTTGTTTCTTTCTTTTTAGGGTTTTCTTAGTGTTATCTTTCTGTCTTGTTTGTCCACTATTTCCATCTGTTTATTTTTTCATTCGCTAATATGTTTTCCCCTTTCCTGTACATCATGGTTCTGTAGTGCTAGCAACTAAGATGGAGAACCAAAATACTGTCCCATTACCCAAGCACAAGGAAATGAGAGTGTACACAGCAGTGGAGGCAGAAGAATTAGAAGCGAATGTGGTTGAGAATTCCCCCCATTCTGATTCGGCTTCCTGTCTGGTTAGTAAAGT